TACTTATCAGATACAAATATATACGAATAAATATATGGGTATATCTGCATTTGCTTGAAGTGGATACCCCCAGTTTAATCGTTTATACATTTTACAGAGTTTGGTAATAACCAATAATGACCATGTTATGGCCTTTTTGAAGACATTTCAAGTTTGTCTGTTTTTGCCATGAACCTGGGGCCAAAACTATGACTGGTGTTTGAACTCAATTAGTAATCGAAACAGCCTTAGAGGCCGTTTACTAAACACTTACCCGGTAAGAGTGATGATAAGGATGGAGAGTCTTACCCGGTAATCGAGGGTGACGACTCTTACCCAGGTAAGCACTTACCAGGTAAATTGTTGTATATGATACGTTTTGATGTACTACAATCTTACACAATAAAATAAATTATAGTGTTGACTCCTAATGTTAAACACTTACCGGGTAAGCATTTAGGTCAACGGCCCGTTACACAACAATGACAGACCATTAGTTTGCTTAAGTGCTTACAACCTTACACAACAATGCTTACCTGCTTGGCAATTGCAGCTTGCAGCTTGCCATCAATGGAGATCCCTCCAAAACCTTACTTTCTTCTCCGTGAAGGTAATGTTCCTCATCTACAAATTAATTGCATCATAATTTACCTGGAGTTTGAAATGTTTGAGTAATTTCAGTATTGTTCAAAACTTATATCCTAAATGACTATTGGGTGTTTGTGGTGTTTTTGGTATTGAATTTTATAGAATTTATGGTTTTTAATTTTTGACTTGTTAGAATGTTAGTGATGGCTTAATCGCAGTGGTTGCTCAAAGGTTGCATGTTTATCCTTGAGGACTATTTGATCTAAACCCAACACATACAAAAACAGAGAGGATAAGGCCGTCAGGGCTTCAAGCAGAGAGTTTGAGTTTTTACCTCATCAATTTCAATTCCCGAGGACCGAGAAAGGCAGAAGGCAGTCAGGGTTTCAGGCAGAGAGTCGAGAGACCGGAGATGGAGAGAGTTGAGATCGAGAGAGTCGGAGACTGAGAGAGGCAAGGACGCAAGGCAGAGTCGAAAATCCTTGGAGTAAAAAATTTCAAAATAAGCCATTTTTGTGTTCTTTGTGTTTTGGGCGGGTCTGCCATACCCGATGTAATTTTCGGATTCGGACTTCCGTTAATTTTGTTCGGGTTCGGGTTCGGGTTCGGGTCGGTTTTCTTCAGTCGGGTAATTCGGGTACGGTCTTGTTTTGGACAGCCCTATTAATTTGTGGGTTTGTATCTAAATCATTCAAGTTTTCTTGAACAACCTTAACTATCAAATCTCAAAAAATTATGACCATTTGAGTATGACCTTTAGCAACGTAGATTCCACTTTTGAGAAATTTTGATTGTTTAATTTATGGGTTTGTATGCAAATCACCCAAATCATTTGAGTTTTCTTTAATTATGTTTTCATTTTCTTGAACAACCCTCAACTATCAAACCACTAAAATTTACTTATTTATAGAATAAAATTCCCTTGGGTACACTGATTTTTAATATTGGTATACGGTGGAGATTGACAAGAGGAGGTACCCATGGACACCTTTACCTTTTTGTAATTCGATTTGGTGTTTTTATAATGCATTTGTTTGTTATATTCTTTCAATAGTTGAATTTTGGTTCTTTTTGACCTAAAAAATGAATTTCTTATTTGTCTCTGCTGGTCGATTTCGTTGGTGTTTTCTAAGCTTGAGAAATTTTGAGTATTTGATTTGTATATGTTGGGTCGGTTCTTGAGTTTCGGTTGAATCTCGCTCCCTCACAAACACCTTCACGGTTAACTATCGAGATTGAGAAACACATGTAGAGTCGTTAAAATCTTCTCTAACAAAACCACTTAAGCTTCAAAATCGTTAAAATTCATAGTTCCCGCCGCATTGCGCGGGTACACAACTAGTTATTTAAAAATATATGCAGTTTTATTTCTTATAGTCAAATGGTACCACTATTAAAAAAAATGCTTAAGTCTGCTTCCTCAAAGGTTGTCCTAACACATGTGTTTCATAAGAATAATACTTAAACCACTTAATAATATACATACTCATCGTCATAAAATCAGTTATATATGAAACAATATGTAAAATCAGGGTTTAGTACATGATTTTTTAAGTTACAGAATGTTTTTATTAAGTTTTAAATAACAAAAGAATTTGAAATCGAATTTGTACGTTAAAATACAATATCTAAAATAGGAAGAAAAAAGAGTAAATTTTTTTAAATTTTCTCAAGATTTTTAAATTACAAATATTTCATCTATACTATATTATAAAGCATTTGACAAAAACTCTTAAAAACAATTTTTTATGCATAAAGTACTGTTTATTAATGCATATTACTTAAAACTCAAGATTGCAAGTAGATTGTGCGTAAGCACAACTTAATAAAGCTCCATATCTGAATCTGTGTAACTAACTGCAGAAAAACATAATCAAATACAGGATAAACATCTCATTTTAAATATAAAAAATTTAAAATATAATTAGGATAATCATTGAGTTCTAACATAATACTTAATTATTATATTTATAAAATATTATATTATTAAATCAAAAATAAATTATTTCGTTATTAAACTTAAATT